GACCAGTCAGTTCCTGCTGTCTCCTGGCCCTGGCGATCCCCAACCCAAGAGTTCTGCCCACACAGTGCCTCAGATTGTGTTCTCTCCACCCTGGAGCAGAGTCAAGCAGCTTCTCACAGCCCGGGTGTCCACTGTGGGATTCACAACTCAGCTCAACAGGAACCACACCCATGCACACACCATAGAACAACATAGAAGTATCTAAAAAGATTAGGAGGTGTGCCCTTATTGGAGTATGTTTCGTCTTGTTGGAAGGGCTGTGCTACTGTGTGTGATGGCTATTCCTGTTGTTAACTTGACTACATCTGAAATAAACTGGCTGGAAGACACAGGCTTCTGATCTTGGCATGGAGATCTTGAGGCACAGTGGCCATGAAAAGCTAAGCCCAGGCAAGGCAGTACATGCCTTTAATCCCAGGAGACTGAGGCAAGCAGATCTCTGAGTTCAAGGCCAGCCTGGGACAAAGCAAGTTCCAGATCCAGGCTTGGTGGTACATACCTTTAATCTCGGCCACACCTTCTGCTGGAGACTTACATAAGGACATTGGAAGAAAGAAGACTCACTTTTCTTCACCTGCTTGCACTTACTTGTCAGCACATCTGTTGGAACCTCCTATTTCAATATTCCAGTTTATACATAAGCCTGGCTGAAACAACTAGCCTGGAGCAACTACTAGATTCTTGGATTTCCCATTCATAGCTGCCATAGTTGGGTTAGTTGGACTGTAGACTGTAAGTCATTACAATAAATTCTCTTAATATATAGAGACATTCCATAAGTTCTGTGACTCTAGAGAACCCTAATACACTGTGGTGTGTATGTGAGTGTGTGTGTGCATGTGCGTGTATGTGTGTGTCTGAGGCTACAAAAGTCCAAGCCCCAAGCCAGGGATGTGATTCTCTGTTCCTGTTGCCTTTGGATCCAGATGCAGAACTCTCAGCTACCATATCTGCCTGCATATAGGCATGCCGAGAATGGACTAAAGCTCTGAGCCTGTAAGCAAGCCTCAGTTACATTTTGCAAGAGTTGTCATAGTCATAGTGTCTTTTCACAGCAACAGAACACTAAGACAGTGGGTGAGGTGAGCATGTGCCATGGTATATATGTGGGGGTCAGAGGGTAGCTCCTTCCTCAGTGTGGGTTCAGGGGATAGAACTTGAGGTTGGCAGGATTGTTGGCAATAATCTTTACCTGCCAAGCCATCTTCTTAGTCCTTGAAATACCTTTGTACATTGCTTGGGGTTTCTATCATTTTTAGGTTTCTTGAAAGAAGCCAAGATTTCTTTGAAGTTCTTGCTTCTTGAAGATGCCTGGAGGAAGTCTACTAAAGTAAAACATGTCACTAAAATATAATTAGCTGAGTAGGAGAAAAAGAGGCATCAACAGCTAAACAATAGTTGCAGATACTGTGGCTTTCACTCCACCTCTGCCTCCGACCCCCATTGTTAACAGTCTCCTCATATCCACTATAAAGGTCCAAGGTGTGCTTAGGAATAACAAGCTTTTGTCCGGGTGAGACTCTATTGCTTTCAATTTGTGGCAAAAGCTGGATTTACTCCTGCAGGGCCCTCCAAGCTCTGGGGTTCTTTGGCAATACCACCTGTTTTGCTGAACAGTGGCTCTTAGAACAAAATGCTTGAACAATTTGGCCCTAGGATGTATTTTAAGAACACTCCTGCCTGGCAAGAACATGTAATAGCTACCGTTTAACAATTCACTAGATGAAAATGAATACTGGGTTACTGCCAGCTACAATTTCTGGACCTTAAAACTTTAAATAATTAATATGAAAAGAAAAGAAAGTGAATTCCACTTACTTGGAATCTGACGAGTTAGCAGTTCACATATTAAGACCTATGACTTTCCAGAAGTCAAATAATGTGAAGAAAAGCTTGCTACAGCATCAACCATCAAACATGTCTCTGGTACACATGTGTTTATGCATACAGGGGAACTCGAAATGACGGATCTGGCAGCTGTGTATACTAGCTAAAATAATTTAGTGGATTAGTAAACTCAGACCTGTGTTGGATATTTCAAAATAAAAATGAGTCACTTGGGAAAAAATAATTTTTAAAAGTCACTTTGAAGTATGCTTTTTGACTAGATGATATTTTGTAACTAACATGATTTTTAGAGCAACTTGATATATTTTCTTTCTATATTTCTTGGAATTTTTAAATGTAAATTACTGAAATGTTCCATCAACTCTCAAACACCATATGTTTTTTGTTATATTGGCATAACAAACATACCGGCTCATCATGTGCTATATTAGTACATGTACACAATTGTATAGTGTTAGAAATATGGGATTGATATCTTTGGTCTGGAAACATTTGTCATTCATGCTGGAAACATTCAAAATCCTTTCTTCTTGTTTCTAAAGAGCATATAGTGCATCATCAGTACCAGTAATCACATTGTGGATATGATGTCTAACTATAACATATTACCTAACTATAATATATTGCCTATTGATCAACCTACAACCATCCTTTCCATCCCTTTAATCTTTCTAGCCTCGAAACCATCAATCTCTCAACTTCTCTGAAACCATTGTTCTAAGTTTCCACAAGAAATCATGTGGTACTTTTCTTTCTTTCTTTCTTTCTTCCTTCCTTCCTTCCTTCCTTCCTTCCTTCCTTCCTTCCTTCCTTTCTTTCTTTCTTTCTTTCTTTCTTTCTTTCTTTCTTTCTTTCTTTCTTTCTTTCTTTTTTGCACAGTCTATTTTACTCAAATCCAATAGCCTTCAGTTCTGTGTAAGTCACAAGATGTTATCCCTTTCAAAGGCTGACTAGTACCTGCTGAAAGTCCTCCTCGAAGCTGGAGATACTTTGTTCAAATATTCAAGTTTGCTAAAAAGGTATACATAAGGGGATTCTTTTTATTTATTTTGAATGTTTCAGACTTGTTAGCAGTAGGTGATTGCTTCAACAATTGCTAATTATCTGTGATATAGTGGAATTCATTACATTGTTGTAAGAATATGTTAAGTGTGGTGGTTTGAATGAAAATGGCCCCCATAGGCTTACAAGGAGTGCTACAGTTGGAGGTGTGGCCTTGTTAGAGGAAGTGTGTCACAGATGGTGAGATTGGAGGTTTTAAATACTGAAACCAGGCCCAATGTTCCTCTCTCTTCCTGCTGCCTTCAGATCTGGAGGTGGATCTCTCAGCTCCTTTTCTAGCACCGTCTGCTTGCATGCCACCATTCTTCCTGCCATGATGAAAATGAACTAAACCTCTGAACCCGTAAGCCAGCCTCCACTTACATGTTTTTCTTTATAAGATTTGCTATGGTCATGGAGTCTTCACAGCAATAGAAACCCTAACTAAGACAGTAGGATAATCTATCTGGGTCTATCACTGGAAGAACATCACTGTTAAGGACACTGAGCTTTATCAGATGACAGCTATGTGTTCTATTACTCATGTTTCTCATGAGGAGCAGAAACGTGGTTATATATCACACACATATACAATATACTATATATAATATAGTATGTTTATAATTATATACTACATAACATACCATGCACTAATATTTTATAACATATACTATATAATAAACTATATTACATGTACATATATAGTATAAAATATACTATATATAATTATATGTATGATTGCATATATTATATGTATATTATATGAATAACAAATATATATAGATAATACATATATATTGTTTAAAATAAGGCTTGGATGAATATGGAGGCTGGAAATTCTACTATGTGTAAGCTGGAGGCATGGGAAACTGCCACCTGTAGTCCAAGATCAAGGGCCTAAGCACAGAAAAGGTAATGTTTGATAACAGAATATGGAATGTGTTTTACTGTTTGTGCCATGAGAAGATCAGATGCTATCCATCACACTAGGAAGAACAATCTTTATTCAGTTGATATTAAGGCTAACATTTTCCAGAATGACTCTCATAGACCTACCTAGGAATTATATTTTACCAGAAATCTGTAGAATTCTCCTTACATTGGCATCAAATATTAACTATCATTATTGCTAATTCAAACGAATAGCCTTATGCTTAGAAACAGTGCCATAGAATCTATGTTAAAAGCCACTGCAAGAGTTTTCATGTACAGTTAGGCTAAAGGAGTATTATGATTTAAAAACTCTAATCATTCTCACAGTGAAGTGTCATATAAAACAAAGCTCTCTACTAGGAAATGATCTCTGGGTGGGACATTCAGTCCCTCACGTGTTCTTTATCCTATCACTCGAGCATGTCTATCCAAGGCCTCTTGTCATTCAGGGAGACAGTGCTGGAGTTCTACCTGCAGCCTCAGCCACTGTACTGCTCTGCCTGTCCTGGGAGCCTGAACTCATTTCAAGGCTGTCTGAGGTCAGCCAGCTCCTTTTCTGCTCTGGTCACTCCCCCGCCCCTTCCTCTGCCCTTGTGAGTTTTTGTCATCCTCATTTCCGCTTACTTGCCAGCTTCTCCCTTGTGGCTCCTCAGGTGCCCAGTGTTTACCTGCAGTCCTGTGTTCGAGTTATCTGGCTTAGTTTCCCTTTCTGAAAAGTCTTAGCAAAATCACATCAGAGATAGAATTCCTTCATTTGTTTCCCTAATCAAAACAATTGTGCTTGCTGCCCAGGCTTACCTGCTTAAACACGAAAACTCCATTTCCCCCATTGTTAAGATTTGGTTTACAGAAAAGAGGAATTGCAAGTGGAGGCTAGAATGTACATGGTACTACTACAAGGCCAAAGTTATTCCCACAACACTATGGGTAAATGCTTCTTTGATGTCTATGCTACAGCTTGGTTCATAGTACTAATTAATTTTTTTAACTTGGAGTTTAAAGGAGGTGTCAGCTTAGATAAGGACATAAAATGCTTGCCAGACTAGCTCCATATAACTGCCTTTAACTGGAAGTTCCAGAGCATTCACTCATTACAAGCAATAAAGGCAAAAGGGATGCTTAGACCACTGTCTGCCTCCATCACATCCAAAGAATATGGACAAGAGAAGACATACTTCTTTTAGTGCAAGCAGCAAGTTTATTTATTTTTGATAAGGAAATAACAAAGGAATGGTGCCAAGTGAGGTACAATTGAAACATTTGCATATAGAAACTGTCCTGGAAACATCAGATTGTTGTCACAGTTACGATTGTCAGCTTAAAACAAAATGAAATCCTAAGTTTGTCAAAAATAAAAAATGTATTCCTTGGGAAATTTCTGAATGGTAATTTTAGTTCAGAGTCATAATACTGAGGGTAAAAGTGTCCCCTTGGCTAAGACCAAGGTGATGCTAGAGACATTCCTACTTCAGATTCCTACTTTGCAAAATGCATGCACATTTTGCAAAGAAAGTGCAAATATTCTTGCGGCATCATTTTTTAGAAGTGTGTCTTCCAGAGTTTAGTTAATGTGAGTCAACACTGGTCAATATGGCTCGCATACACACACTTATATGTTTCTGATGCTGTATTGGAAACATTTGGGTTTATTCAGATAACAAATAAAAAATACATATGGACAGACATCAAGTCTTCAGCCTGATGCTCTTTCATTAATGTTGAAGTGGTAAAAATTACTTAGAAAGATTCCATTTTCTTAAGGACACAGTTGAATACATGGCTGCTTTCTTGCTCTCTAAAGCAACATGTATAATTTAATTGGCAACTACAGAATAAATGAATACCAGAAGACAAAAATAAAAGCATTAAAGCCCATTACAATCTTGAATAATGCAAAAACTTCAAGCATATAGGAAAAGTATTGCAATCATGTATTTAGCTTTACTTTTTCTAATATATATCATAATTTAGAACTATATAAAGTCACTTACATAAAAGTAACTTTTCAAGTGTTATAGCTGAAAGCATGGCTTGGTGCTTGGCTTAATCATTTTTTTTTTTTTTAACCAGTTTCATTTATAAAGCTCGTAATCTTGCCAGCAGGGCTTCAACTTCAGGAACTGATTCGCTTTTAGAACTAGAGCCAAGAAGTTCCATTTCCTTTTTTCTGTTGCTTTCTGCATTACAGGCTTCCTTCTCAACTGCCTTGATCCTCCCTGTAGACGTATGAGTGTCTAGATTATAATTAAGCTCCTTGGCAGCTGGAGTCCTGGTGGAGTTGCAATTGATACTGTGGTGTGGACGTGACCCTTCTGTCAACTGCATTTTCTGATTTTCTACAGTAAGGAAAAAAGAAACATGAAACTTGTCAGTGTGGAGACCAAGGTCCAGGCATGTGATAAAACATAGTTTTAACTATCATTAGCAAATAAGTCTTCTTCAATAGACTAGAAATAGCCGGTAGGAAGGTAGATATAAAGTAAGCATGGAGCAGTTAAGAATCAAATAGAGTATAGTAGAAAATGGCTTATTTCCTTCTTTTATGCTGAAACACTTTTTACCAGGCCGTCATCAGTTTCATCTCATGCTTCACTCAGGAACTGGGTCAAACAACAGTGAACTGGAGAGGCCGTCTCTGACCGTTAGGATGGACCTCATGGTCTCATCACTCGGTCCGTTCCCTTCATCGTTGGCTCAGAGCGTCATGGCAAGCACATGCACCATGTGTCTGTTTACCTGTCCACTGGGTGTCTTTTCACTCGGATGGATATCCCACAGAGCAACAGTTTTATTTTAAATGCCATGTAGTTTCAGTCTCTATAGTAGTTCTGGCTAAGCTAAGAGTTCAATAAAACACACTGGATAAATAAAGAGTCTGTATAGATTATGACCCAACAGAGGAATTAGACTAAGATTTTCTTTTCGAAGAAAAAGGAAGACTCTCTTAAGAAGTATAAAATTAAGAAACAAATCCCTTAACACATAATGACATTGTCAGGCAAATTGCATTTTCTTGCAAAACATAATTACATGATTATGTCACAATGACATTAAATAGTATATCCACACCCACATATATATGCAGACATATACACATACATACTGGCACGAGATTGAGATCTTGGCTCCGTAAAGGGCAATGATTAAGTGGTGCTGGGGGATTCTCTCAGAGGTGTGAAAGTTCTTCTAATTAGCCGATCCTCTCATTGTGCAACCTCATGACTGAGTCTCTCATAGCACTCCGACTTTTAAAAAGCAGACTGCCTCAATATTCACGTAACCTTGAACAGGGTTTGAAAATGGCTCCAACAAACTTGACATGACATTTAAAGTTTTTTGGTTATTCGCTGAGAGATGTTCCATTATCCCAATAGTAATGACTTTGGAGCACAAGCAGTCACTCATGACAGTGTGTTTTATGTGAGCGCTGAAAATTCCAACCAAAAACAGCTTGTACATTAAAAGGTGGCTGCTGAAGATATTTACTGCACTGTCATTTCCTGACCAGGGGCTTCCAGTGATGGATGAGTATTTTACACAGTTTCTTGGACAATCTCTACAAATTTTAGAAGTATGATCCGCTTTTAGCTGTTGGAAGAAAATAAATACACTTTTCTTATCACTTTCTCTATCAGGTGGACAATTGTTACTCAAAAATCAAAATCTTACAGAGCAGAGATTTTTTTTTCCTTAGAGGAGTTTATGTGCTGCAGCTTACAATGCACACTCTGTGCTGGAAGCAAAGAACACACATCAGACTGGTGGTTCTGCAGTTCCCAGGGCTACATAACTGAATTGCTTCTTGTACCCCCACCCCCCCACCCTGAAAGGTGTGTGAAAGTGCCTTTGTAGCTAAGTGCTGTTTTCAGTCACCATATGGCTCATTCCCAAATCTTTCTACCATTCCTGGTCATTTGATGACCTGTATATTACCCCATCATGAGACTACCAACAAACAAGTATTTTGCTACTGGGCAACTGTAGCTGAAATCTTGGATTACTGAGAATACATTGGCAAGAATATGGATCTGGAATACAAGAAAATAGTACACAAAGTCCCACAATATAGCTATACAATGCTAATTCTGTATGTGGAAAAGTGAAAAAAATGGGATTTTAGGTAAACATATTATGAAATATGAACTTTAATGGATAATTCAATCCCTTTGAGCCCCAGATTCTAATAATAAATCTCAAAGAGTAGCCATGGGGATAAAGGGACAAGAGCTGGGTGGCTCCTATATGGTGATTACTGACCTAGTTAGTGTTACTATTGCTGTGATGAAACACCATGACCAAAGTAACTTGGGGGAGAAAATGGTTTACTTGGCTTACACCATTCATCACTGAAGGAAGCGCCAGGTGAGGAACTCAAACTGGGCAGGAAACGAGGTAGGAGCCCATGCGGAGGCTATGGAGGGATACAGGTATTGACTTGCTCAGTCTTCTTTCTTATAGAACTACTAGCTCAGAAAAGTACCACGCACAATGGGTGGGTCGTTACCCATCAACCACTAATTAAGAAAATGCCTTATAGGGGGATCTTTTGGAAATATATTCTCATTTTCGGCTCTCTCCTTTTAGATATCTCTAATCTGGGTGTCAAGTTGGCATAAAATTAGCTAGCACACTTACCTTTCCTCCCTCTTTCAAAAGCTACAAGGCCTGTTCATCAGTCACCAGGACTTAGGATTTACTTGGAGGCTCTGGCCTGACTTGTCAGTGCTTAGCAGATAGGGCTGAAACGTCGCTTTATGATCATCCTGTATTTATTAAGCAGCCCATTAATTTACAAAGAACTTGTTGCATCTCAAATAGCACCATCATGTTACAGACTAAGGAGCAGAAGCTAAAAGAGGTTTGGTCATGTGCTTACATTAATCACTGAGTAAGTCAGTGACAGAAGCCAGATGGATGCTGTAGCAGGAGACACTGGAACTGTCTTAGCCAAAGCTGAATACATTTTTGCCAAAGACAAGTGTGAAGTAATTCAAAGCTGAGTTTCATAATAATGATATCCTGAATCTGTACAACAACTTTGTAAAGCAGAAAGACAGATAGAAACTCTGTGAGCACAGTTATGGTCAAAGTCACATCATCCCTTTTGGTTCTGGTCTCAATTATGTTGATGACTGAATTCTAAGCTTGACCTCAACTCACTGCAATATCCTAATCCACTTATCTTTCCATTTTCCTACCCTTTCTGTTCTTCCCACACCTCCAGCATGTAAACCCAGTCATCTGGCCCGTTCATAACCTCCTCTTAGCTTCTAGCATCTGTTTATCCCTTCCTTCCTGTTAGGATGGATCAACATTCTGCCATCCTGAGAACAACCTCTAAGGTCTCACGTCTGCTGTGCTATTGCCCTCCCTTTGTCAGCTGCACTGTCCCCACTGAACTGTCAAGATGTAGCCCTCCCTGTCGTCATCCCTATCCTGGCTATTTTATATCAACTTGACACAAGCAAGAGTCATTTGAAAGGAGGGAATCTCAATTGAGAAAATGCCTCCATAAGATCCAGCTATAGGGCATTTTCTTAGTTACTGAAGGATGTGGGAGGGCCCAGCCAAGCCCAGCCCATTGGGAGTGGTGCCATCCTTGGGCTGGTAGTTCTAGGTTCTATAAAAAAGCAGGCTGAGCAAGCCATGAGAAGCAAGCCCACAAGCAGTGCCCCTCCATGGCTTCTATAACAGCTCCTGTCTATAGGTTCCTGTCCTGTCTTAGTTCTTATCTTGGCATCCTTCAATGATGGACAGCAACATGGAAGTGCAGGTCAAACAAATCCTTTCCTCCCCGGCTTCTTTTTTGGGCAGGCATTTCATTACAGCAATAGAAATACTAACTGAGACAATTCTCAGCATACACATTTGTTGGGATAACATCAAACTCAAGAGAAGAGGAAATTTTTATTTGTTTCCACTTCTGCCCCAGCTATACCCTCAGGGCACTGCTCCTTTAAAAAAAAAAAAAACCACTTGAAGGAGAGAAGTTCTTGCCTCTGTTCTTTCCACTTATGTTCCTCTTGAACCCACACTCATCCTGATTTTGACATTTTACTCTTCTCAGACAATTCTTGTGAATGTCAACCAGTGGATCGATTGTTGAAACAAAGGAGGACAGCAGCTCCTTGGACATCTTTGCCTACGAGAGAGCAGTTGAAGTGCCCAGCACAGCCTGGGGAGCTTCTTTTAGTGCTTTGATGTCTGAACTTCTCTGGAAGATTCAGGCAGTAACCAGTGGGCCAATGAAGGAAAAACATTTAGATCCTTTTTGAGAAACTCAAAACAGTCATGGGTTTGCCATTTGGGATAAGATGCTAAAGGAATGGCATGATATTTGACTCCTCTGTGGTTTCAGAAGGAAACTTTCATGGAAGCAACTGATAAGATGGTGTGAAAAAGGAAGATGCCACTCCACAGACCCCTGGAAAAATAGCCAAGTGTACAAAGCACATGAAAGGGGCGAGCATGCGGCCCCCGTTAGCACTTTTTCGATAATTATTCTCTCCCGGAAGCCATGCTCCTCTCTGCACAGCAACAAACCTACCAGGTCCCTAGTTTCTATTTGGGTTAACATTTTCCATAGTTGTCTTTAAAACAACATAGGGCTAGCAATTCTGTAAATTAGAATGCATGGGTTTGCAGAAGTAAATTATAATTTGCTGTGGGCGGCTTCATCCTTTACATCTCAAGTTAGAAATACAATATGGCATACTTGGACACAAGGACTCAGTGAAAGGTAAGGCTGGAACCGCAATAAAAAGAGAAGCATTTCTATTTACCCTCCACAGAAATCTTTGCCAACACACATTTAAAAATTGAAACCAAAGATACTAAAGCAAAATAGAATGACTGCTTGATTTTCTAAAGGGAGTACTTTTGTACAATTTTATGAATCAAATCCTGGGCTTTCCTTTTTTTTTTCCCCTTTAAGATATTACCATTGAAGCCTGTGTGTAATATGCCCAGGACCCCTGCCAACAATCAGGACCACTGGTAATGGCAGCACAGATAGGCAATGAGACAGCTTCTATTCTTAGTATCAAACTCATAAGGGAATCCAGTACACACATCCTGTATTTGTGTGTCTGTGGAACTATTCAGGATAAGAATACATAGTATTTTTCCTATAAAATAGGAAGAGTCGCTAATTTCAGTTTATCTCCCCGTATGATTCTGACTATAAAAGAGCCTAATGGAGAGCCCACCGTAGCTTTACTTCCCTCTGTGAATTGAAAGTTAGACTGTTGGAAAGCCGAATATACATTTTGGCATTTAAACGAAGCATTTCAGTCAACAGTTGCTATGTATCTTCCATGTAGAAAGTAAAGGCAAC